TTCACATTGGTGAAAAATTTCTTTCTTTTATTGTATTTCATACATACCAAACTTTCTATATATATTTTTTTCTTATGCCTTGGTTATCAAAATTATCAAATCTACCTGCTCATCTCAGTCTAACTCAAAACAAAACAAGACTTCCAATTTTTACCCCACAGAATTAATGCAAGTGTGTATAAGGTGTATCATTCCAGAGATCAATTTCATTAAACAAAAATCATGTTAGCAAAGTGGACTACAGGCCACCAACCAATTTCAAAAAATTTCAAGCATCCCTTTTCACAATATTTTGGCATACAAACCATTTCTAACCAACACCAGACTGTAAATAATGTATATTACAATCAATAGACTCAAATTCATGCTTATAACATCAAAAATCATGACCTTGTGTTATCAAATATAAAATTTCAAAATTTTCCAACCAGCTTTACCCCCAAACTTAGTGTTCACATTGTCCTCAATGTGTGAGAACAAAGGAGAGTTAGAAAGATATTACCAGATAAGCAGATCAGCAAAGATATAGCAAAATGATGCACAGACAGGTAACAATGTTCACCCCCAAACTTAATCCGTAGTACTTGGCAAAATCAATAAACTCCAACACACATCAGAGTATCAAGTATATGGAGTAATAAGAGAGAAATATCACAAGTGACTCAAATATCAACATAAGGAAATAATAGGCAGAAAACATGTATATATATCTAATCATAGAATAAACCTAAAACCTAGAAAAGAAGGAGAAAAATAATTAAATCACACACTAAAATAAATAAATAAAAAAATTACGGTACAACATACAAATGCTAAGTTTAACGTCGATAGCTCGACAGCAAGCTAAGTTTAACGTCGATTGCTCGATGAAAACCTAACCTCTTTAGTCTAAGTAAATAGGATCATGAAGTTCTACTACCTCCACTGTGCCTCTCTGCACACTACCCTCTATATAGGGCTTCAGTCTTTGTCCATTGACTTTGGACAGTTTTCCAGTCTTGCAATCTTATATCTCTATTGCACCGTAAGGTGTAACAGAAATAACCATGTATAAACCTTCCCAACATGACTTTAACTTTCTAGGAAAAAGTTTCAGTCGTGTATTAAATAACCAAACATTTTTCCCGGGCTCAAAAGTCTTACGCAAGATATGCTTGTCATGAAATGCGTTAGTCTTTGATTTGTAGACCTTAGCACTCTCATAAGCATCATTACGTAATTCTTCGAGCTCTATTAGTTGAAGCTTCCTGTTAAAATTGGCAGATTTCAAATCAAAATTGAGTTTTTTTATGGCCAAGAAAGCTCTGTGTTCTAACTCTACAGAAAGATGGCACCCTTTACTATAGACGAGACGGTAAGGTGACATACCAATTGTAATTTTAAAAGCAGTATGGTAAGCCCACAAAGCATCATTTAGTCTAAAAGACTAATCCTTATGATCTAGCTTAACCATTTTTTCAAGAATTTTCTTAATTTCACGATTGGATATTTCAACTTGGTCACTTGTTTGGGGATGATAGTGAGTAGCAACTTTATGAGTGATAGAGTATCTTTGTACCAAAATACAAAAATACTATTACAGAAGTGAGCACCTCCATCACTAATAATAGCTCGTGGCATACCAAACTGACTAACAATGTTCGTTTGAATGAACTCAACCACAACTACATGATCGGTAGTTTTTGTAGCCACTACTTCAACCCATTTAGACACATAATCTACAGTCACAAGAATATATTCATCTTTATTTGACTGAACAAAAAGACTCATGAAATTAATACCCTATACATAAAAAACCTCAATGACTAAGATTAGAGTTAAGGGCATCATGTTTCTTCTGGAAATTGATCTTAACTGCTGACATCGAAGGTATGATCTACAGAATAAATATGCATCCTAAAAGAGTGAAGGCCAAAAGAAACCACACTGAAGAATTTTAGCGGCAGTTTTCTTTACACTGAAATGACCTCCACAAGCTAAACTGTGACAGAAGGTCAGAATACTATGAAACTCACTCTCAGGAACACATCTACGAATGATTTGATCAGCACAATACTTGAAAAGCTAGGGATCTTCCCAATAGTATATCTTAATCTGAGAGAAGAATCGATCTTTTTCCTACTTTGACCAAGATAAAGCAATTTTGCCTATTACGAGGTAATTCACAATATCAGCAAACCAAGGCAAATCCTTATGAGAAACCTCAAATAGTTGTTCATCCGAAAAGGTACCTCAACAAGAATTCTAGAAAGATGGTCAGCTACCACATTCTCTGACGCTTTCTTATCCCGGATTTCGTAATCAAACTCTTGAAGTAAGAGGATTAATCGAATCAAATGGGGTTTGGTTTCTTTTTTGGAAAGAAAATGTTTTAAAGCAAAATGATCAGAATAAACTATGACTTTATAACCCAACAGATATGATCTGAATTTGTCCAAAGCAAAGACAACTACAAGTAACTCTTTTTTAGTAGTGGTATAATTCAATTTTGCATCTGAAAGAGTTTTGCTCGCATAATAGATAACATGAGGAAGTTTATTTACTCTATTGAACCGAGGGGGGGGGGGGGGGTGAATTGGTTGAAACTTTTCTTTATAAAACTTTCTCAAAACAACTAAACAAGCATTCAAAGAACAGATAACGCAAAATTTACAAGGAAATCCTCTTAACTAGGGAAAACCTTGGTTCTTCGCTCAGCCAATAAGCAATCCACTACTAGCTGTACACACTTAGTTGTCTCACTCTCTACACACACCCAAGCACAAGAATAGACACTAGTTTTCATAACCAATACACACACTAGTACATTACAGTGCATAAAAGCACTCCCCCTGTCTTGAGCAACCATGCTTGGACCAAATAAGCTCTCGTAGCTCACCACACACACCATTATAGATGTAAATCAATATAAGAAAGTCTTCCATACAATTACAATAGGTTAGACAACACATAATTCCAAATTATTGCCTTAAAACTACAATCTGCTGCATTTAGGGTTTGAGGGGTAAAATGGGAAATTCCTCTCAAGATTAATTTAGAAACACTTCACACAGTCTTCTTTCACTATAGTACTCATGTGAAAAGCTTTGTACAATCAAACACAACATGAGTATATCACATATCAGCCACAACTTTTATATCAGCACAAGTCTGCCTTATCCTTAGGGTTTGAACACTCAAAAACACAACATACCATTTTTCTATCACAAGGCCAACTTTAACAATCCTGATTCACCAAATTATACTTGCTAGTAGTTCAATAACTCAAGAAATAGCATAGTATAACATATCAGTACTTGAATCCAAGATTAAAACAAAAAAATAAGCTTAACTAGTGATCTTATAGTCCAAATCCATTTTCAGCATGTTTTCAACACAAACATAGTACTGAGCAAGTGTAATTGACTTGTTTATACCTAACATAGCTCTTGGAATAGACCACAACAGCTTGGAACACAAAGTCACTACTCAATCCAGCCCTTGCAGCAGTAAATCTAACAGCAGCATCATCTCAACACCTTGTACATGCTCCTGAGTTGATTCAATGGGTTTTTCTTCTAAAGATCATCATCAAAACTCTCAGAAAAACTTGTTCATTCAAAGCTCTTGAGAGAATACTAGCTGCAGCTCACTTTTCTCAATTTTTCATAAGGCTTAAACCCTAAAAGTCATTATAACAGCATATTTATAGTGACAATGAATTACACAATACCTCACACAACAAGAATATACACCTATCACCTCTAGCCAATGATTGAGAGAGCATATTTAAGATATTTTTAGAAGAGGGGACCACTCACAGCAAGCCACCTCAGCAATTTTGTCACTATGCACACCTGAATTCATACACACACATTGCAAGGCTGTAAATTGCATTTTCCTCTAGACTTAGCCTACAAGAAATGTAATATTCTTGTATATACCATCTCTCTAGGACCATTGGGATGTGTAACACACTTGAATGCAAATAGAAAGGACCAAAATACCCTTGTAACAAATTAACTCCTTCACAGCCAGTAGGTAGTCCTAAAGCTGTATATTTCATAATGCAGGCTCAATTAAAGCAATCTAGTGCAATGCAGCTACCCAAACAAACGTATATCACTGAATTACAACTAAGAAAAGAGCATAGTACCCCTGTGAGCACCTGTAGCTAAGACTGAAATACTGAACCTTCACTGTCACAGTGATTTTGATCACAACAGACTGAAACATTGCAATGCACTATTGCAGACCACTAGTACAATGTGATACAAGGTGGTAAATGACAATACAACCCCTGGACCTTATTTCAACACACAATGCAGATAGAGTTCATACTTAATGCCACTGGAAACAATGTTTTTTGACATTCAAAGGCAAACATTCCTTAAGATAACTTAAGACCAACAATCTTCCCCTTTTGCCTTTAATAAAAAAAACTAAATAATCTTAAAATAAGATCTTGAGAATGAGAACTTTTTTTTTTTAAAGATAAAGATTCAGTAAATAGAACAATCCAAATGCAAAAAGAATAGCTTCAAGCTATCCTTATTTCAGTCTATTTCTCCCCCTTTTTGACATTGAAGGTCAAAAGGTGAGTAGGCCCAACAATATAAGTTCAGAAGGGAGGAGGAACAACCTTGAGAAAATCTTTAAGGGTTAAAAATCTCTGAGGAAGAAGAGGTTTGGTCATGATATCTGTAAGTTGATCTTTAGTGGGCAAGTAAGTAATATCAATAAGGCCTTTTTGAACTTTCTTTATGAGAAAGTGATACCTGATATCAATGTGTTTGCTTTTCCAGTGTAGTATGGGATTTTTGCTGATAGCAATAGTACTTTGGTTGTTACTGAAAAGCTTTGGTGGTATTGAAAATTGAAGTCCTAGGTCTGAGTTGAGAGCCAGCTTATGAGGCAGCTATATACTCACCTTCAGAGGTTGAGAGAGAGATAGAGACTATATTAGAACCAAGAACATAATAGCAACCAGAGGTACTTTTTCTGTCAAGTAAAGATCCACCCTAATCAGCATCTAAGAAGGCTGCAATAGACATTGAGGGTGAGAAAGTGTAGTATAGACCATATGAGATGGTGCCCTTAACATATCTGAGAATTCTTTTGGCAGCTTGAAAATGAGAAACCTTTGGATTACTTTGAAATTTGGCCACGAAACCCACTGAATACATTATATCAGGCCTTGAAACAGTAACATACAGTAAGCTACCAATGATTGACCTGTAAAATGTTGAAGGAACAGCTTCAGTGGTGTACTCTAGTGAGAGTTTGGTATTAGGACATAGTGGTGTTGAGACAGCCTTACAATCATCCATTTTGAACTTTTTAGGTATCTCAGAGGCATACTTTTTGTAATGACCTGGTCATTTTTCGTCCTTTTCCTTTTCTCGGATTTTTACGGATATTTTTTTTTCCGTTGTCTTTTCCATTCTGTGTTCGGTTTTTCGTCACTTGATGTTGTCTTGAGTGCTCTGGAATGATTTATGAGGCTCTTTTCCTTGGATTGACAACTTCCGTTAGGGATTGTGTCATTTCCACATTTTTATTTTTCTGAACACTATTCACTTTTGTCTTTTTCTCGTTTATCATTTTCCTTGCTCAAGTTCACTTTTTGTGTTTGGATTTGATTCCGGTTTTGCATGCATCCACGATATTTAAATTCCATACTATGTGTATTTTTACTTTTGTAGAAAAGCATGCTAAGTGCTTACTTTTCTTGTAAAGGGTATAGACGCACAACTTTTTTGTAATTTTTCTAACTTTAGGAGTTTTTATGTAATTAATGTAAAGTAATTATTTTTTGTCTTAAGGACCATTTTGTAATTTAATTTGGAAGATATTTTTAAAAATGACCTTTTTGCAATTTCTTAAAAGTGTGACAAATGTCACACTCTCATTGGTCCACTTGTTGACATGTGTGTGGAAACACCTTAAGGCCTTGGATGATGACACATAGAGGGTGAAGATTCACCCACTTGTTAGCCTAGGATTGGTGCAGTTATTGCCTTGGATGGTTGACAAGTGTAGGCTTAGGATTAAGCCTACAATGGATGCTTGGATGAGTGATAAGTGTAGGCTCACAATTTGATCTTGCATTAGTGTGTGTGTGTGAGGTAGTGTAAGAGCACATAGTGAGTGGAGGATCTCTATCCCCTCCACTCACATTTCATCTTCATTATTTTCCATTTCCTCCCTCTCTTGTAAAGAAAACCCTAGCCTCCATGGATGGAGCCTTAAGCCTTAAGCTTTTACCTTAATTTTTGAGAGCCTTCCATTGATTTCCAAGCTTGAACTTGGGAATACATTTTGTTCCCCTCATCTTCCTCTTCATAACCGTAGAAGGGTTTGCCATTTTGTGTTGATTTTGCCTTGGATTCTAGAGAGACACTTCTCTAGTGAGGTAGGGGATGTTATAGGGTTATATATTTGTTATCTTGCATGTTTTTGATGCTTATACAACTTGTATGTATGTATTGTATTAATTTGAGAAATTATGATTAATGATAGTTTGCTTATAACTCATTTTGGACTAGATATATGGCATGGCCATGACTTGATCTTTGTTGTATATTAAATTGGGGTGATTTAAATGAGTTTTTAAATCTAGAGATTTAAAGAATTTAATTTGATTTAAATTATAGTAAATTGTGTTTTGCTTGTATCCCATTTGGACTTGAGATATGGTATGACCATGAGTTGGTGCTTGATATATGTTAATTAGGGATTATTTGAATAACTTTTGAAATCTAGAGATTTGATTAATTTAAATTAATTAAATTCTATATGATTCTATCTTACTCATTTGACATTTTTAATTTGATATATGTAATGAGCATGCTATGTTGTTTAACATATATTAATTTGCGGTTATCCGAATTTGATTTGAAATCTAAAGAATTTGATTATCTTGTTTAATTAAATTCTATCTAATGGCTCCATGGACCTATTGGTATTTTAGAAGTTGTTTCTATATTCAAATCATAGACTTGAACTTGTTATGTATTCACTTTGTTGTATTTTGAGCATTGGACAACCTTGTGGTTATACTTATATTCATGAGAACATTCTTAATGGAATATATTGATGCCATGTGTAATGAATTGCACATTTTGTAATTGACATTATATATACCATTTTAGAATTCAAACTCTAAGGTATAGATTGTGTGGTTTCAACCTACTTGTGCATGGAAGGTAGTTTTCATGCATTATATAAATTACGTATAAGTTGTGAACTTATTTAATTATTTTGGATTCTCTTGGGACATGGTTACTAGTAACATAGCTAGAGTTTGGCTCGAGTGCGGGAGGTATGAGTTCTCCCCAGTTGAGATAGTGTGCACTTAGGGCGGTCTTCCCTGCGGGTTAGTGCCCGGAATAACCATTGAGGTCTCGGCAGAATTCCGAGCTTAGATGTCCAAGTCTTCCACTATTTGGTTTTGCATTCAATTCCAAGTTAACAATCATGTTTATATTGTAACTTGTGGTTTTGGTTATTGGCGATTTTGATGTTGTTAAGTACATCCATGTTTATGATTTTAATGAATCATTTTGATGTTGTTAAGTACATCTATGTTTATGATTTTAATGAATCATTTTGATGTTGTTAAGTACATCTACATTTATGATTTTAATGAATCATTTTGATGTTGTTAAGCACATTTATGTTTTATGATTTTTGTGAATCATTTTGATGTTGTTAAGCGCATCTATGTTTTATGATTTTAGAGAATCATTGTGAACTTTGATGTTGTTAAGTACATTATGCCTTATATGTTCAAATATGGTTTAGGAATGATCCTATAGATTCATTTGGAACATAGAAGTTAGGTGGCATGACCCACTTTGGTTATTCTAGCATTTTAGATTTCAAGTCGATAACTTTGAGAATCTATATCTTGTTGCTTGTATAGCATGTTCCTATGTTGTTTAGAATTGCATGAAAAAGGTGATTGATGCTAGAAATGATCTTAGGTAGCTAGGATGCTCCTCGAGTCTCACCTTTGACATAAATGTTAGGTGGAATGAATCATAATAATTAAATCATGCAAACTTGTAAAACGTAGGTTAATGAATGCTCATTTCCTACGAGTAGCTTTATGTTACTCACCCCTACGATACTGGGGCATATTTCAGGTACAGGAATTAAAGTTGAGACTCCCATTATGGTTGGATGACTTGTGGACTAGAAGGCTTCCATTTTTATGAAGGTTGGCTCGGAATGCCAATTGTAGTCTTATTTGTCAAATGTGTATATTTGATTCCATATATGTAATGTGTACATGAGTGCACTCCTTACAATGTATTTGACATGTATGAGATGAGGCCAGAGGCCAATGACATGTATTTGTATTCTATGTTGTTTTGACTTCATGAAATATTATGAAAATATTTAAAAATGTTAAGTTATTGTCTCACTATATCTGCATTGGGTGTGTGAATTCCGTTTTGATTCTTCCGTAGGATCTCATTAATCATGCATGAAGTATGGCCAAGGGCTAAATGGTAATTTCCAATCATTTGCTAATTTTGGTTTTCAAAATATCCATTTCAAATTCATTTTTGCCTTTTTGGCCGTTGGGGGGTCGGATTTGACTCGACCATTTCTGGGAGCCACGGACCATTCCTGTGTGCTCAAATCACTTATTATATTTGCGTGCATATTCGTTTTAGCCTAAAAGTGCATTTGGGGTCAAATGTATGTTTGGTGCAAATTCACATTTTTGCTGTTTTGAGCCTAAACTGAGCATAAGGGCATTTTGGGGTTTTCACATGAAAAAATAAACATTGGTCCTGACATGGTTAACAAGAAAACATGATTTTGAGGTGGGTTTCTTCTTTGTGTTTCTTTCAAAAAGGCACAGAAAGTCCTCAAAATTGCATTTCAAGGTTGCATTTCAGGTGTAGCCTACAGCAGTTCGAGTGCTCTAAAGGGGGTTCGAGCGCTCGAAGTTGGGGAAGAGTGTTTGGCCCTTGGGCGTGTGCCATTCGAGCACTCGAAGCCCTTACTCGAGTGCTCAAGGTACTGTTCATATGTGTGTGTGTTTGTGTATTGGTTCAGCACTGTATCTCCGACTTTAAACTATCATATCTTCTTTGTTTTAACTCCGAATTGGTCCGTTATTGAGTCTAAATTGACCATGTTGAAATAATCTTTCCAATGGTTCTAATTAGAGCTTCAGATTCTTCTTGTAACTTAAGATATTCAAGTTTTAGTAAGGTAGTGTCTATTTTTGGTTCGAACCGGGATAGGGTTTCCCTTCCTTTGACTTCAACACTTGATATTTTTGTCATCCGGACTCTGAATCATGCGATTCTTGAGTCTTTTCTTGTTAATTTTTAGTTGTCTTTCCAATGGTGTGCACGGTGTCACCCATTTCAGTGTGGAATGACCATTTTTCCCCTAGGTTCATTCTCATCCGTGTTTGAAACGTTGCTTCCGCATTTACTTCCTTTGGGTGTCGTGACCTCGTTGAGGGACACATTGGTGTCTTAGAGGAGTGTTGTATCTCTAGAGACCATTGTTCTATCTTTTGCTTCCGCATTTTGGATCCATTTTGGGTTATCACAGGACACACTAGGTTGAAAAATCCAGGGTCGTCACACTTTTGCAGAGAGATAAAGATTCCAGTGGATGTTTTAGTAATTTGTAGGCTTAAAAAGTATATGAGAGTCCCCAAGAGTGACATTTCAAACCTTGTCTTCATGAGATTAGCAAATTCTGAAGCTAATGAGGTGTCTAAGCCACAAAACATGATATCATCAACATAGATTTACAGAATTAGAAACTGTTCTTGATGAGTTTTTACATAAATAATATTATCAACCCTGCCTCTGTCAAATCCTTGTTCAACTAAGAACTGATGCAGCTTCTAAAACTAGGTTCTGGGGACTTGTTTGAGACCATACAAAGCCTTATCTAGTTTGTAAAAATGAGAGGGAAACTCTGAATCTTCAAAGCCTTCAGGTTGTTCCAAGTAGACTTCTTCATTTAGATCTCCATTAAGAAAAGCAAACTTGACATCCATTTGGTATACTTTGACTTGTTTGTGACAGGCAAAAGGTAAAAACATTCTAATGGAATCCATTCTTGCAATTGGAGCAAAAGTTTTATCATAATCAATACCAGCCTACTGAGAGTAATGGTGTCATTGTGAACCAACAAGTTAAAACGTGTTAAAGAGTGGCCAAGTTTGAATTTAAAAAGTGCCACTACTACCTCTAACTACTAATATAGCTAGGGTGAGTAGGGATCGTCCCAAGGGATTGGAAGCGTATTTTGCTTGGAAACAAGGTCGGACTAGTAGGTCGAGTGA